GTAGACACTGAAGAGCTCATCCCTGTGGGAGGAGGCTAAGGCCCAATGGCTTGAGCCTTAAAGAGGAATTCTCTGAACTGATGAAAAAATACAGATGAATTTAATTTCCCAGGAGGCTCAGCGGTTAAACTGTCATTATAGAAACTCTTTGTGACTATGTAACTTGGGGTGAGGCAGGATGTCACCTAATTAATGGACTGACCATATGGCAGGAGACCTTTTTACAGAAAGCCAGGTATAAAAAGGAAAATACAACCCAAGTGGAGCTTCTGATTAATAAATGTCACTTTTTGTCATGTGACTCTATGTATAAATATGTTTTAAGTGTTGTTTCCTGTTAATATAAAGCCATAAATGACCCCATCAGCCCTGTCTGTCTAGAAGGGGCCTGAGTCAAGAAAATGAGAACTAGTTACCTTCATGGTGCTTTCTGGTCATCCTATGGATTGGATATTTTTGTGTATGTGTATCTAACTTATGTCTCTACTTGAAATGTGCCTATGTCCTGTTGTTCTGCTTTCAGGCAACTTCTCCATCATAATGATCCATGGGGCAGTATTCACTTGCTGACTGTTCTACTCAACTAATTCTCAGACTTTTATGGCTACCAGTACAATATAAATTACTGTAACATATTTTAATATGATTTGTATTAAGTGTCAATGAAAAATGCTGCTTAGGTAAAATACCATCTAGAAATGAAATACCTAATGATTTGTGAAAAAGCATTGAGCAAGCTCCAGTGAACAAGCAAATTACTACAGGGCACTTTGCTTGTAGAATCTGTCAGCACCACTGTATCTGGGTCTATTGTCAAATAAAGCATATTGTGTTGGTACCACAAAAGTAAAGAGATGCAATAGCAGAAGAGGAATTGAGTTTCAGTCAAAAGGCAGTTGTGATGTTTTATGAAAAACATGGAACTTGCAGAAATGATACCCAAGTTGAAATCTTGCCTCTTCAACTTTCTAACTGTGTGACTTTAAGAAAATCCTTTACCTACCTGAGACTCACTATTTTTATCTATAACTAGGTAAAATGTGGAATAAACTTGCTCTCACAAGACTGTGGTGGCATCAAATAAATTATTTTTAACCATATACATAATAATATGCCTGATATTTGGGAAAGTCTCCATATTAGCAAAGGGCCTAAACACATGGGATTTTCTTTACTCCCTCCTGAAACATCATTAACATGACAGTTAAGGAATTATGTAAATTATAAAGAGCCATAAGGAAAGATAAAAAAGGAAAGGATATGCCACCAGGTGAGATATTAACTAAATTTTCAAGAATTTAAAGTAGGTTATAAGAGTGGCAACTGGCTTAATATAAATAAGAAAACTGGAACTTATGTCTCCACAGATGGGAGAGGCCAATAAAAATCAAGCCATCTTGAATCCGATAATATTAGAGGGGCTCAGGAATTGAATGCATGAGGTACTCTTCAAGGCTAGAAACAGGACTGGTTGAAAGTCTAAAGAACGATTAGAAGGTTAGATGCCTTATCTTATGGTAAGATGCAGTGATTATTTCTGTAAATACCGAGCAAGAGAGTCTCAATGATCAGGGATGTTGGACACCATGAGGAAATGAGTCAAGCTCTCTACTGAAAAATGGGAATTAAGTAAAAGTTGACATGCTGAACGGTGAAAAGTCCATTCCCCCATCCCCTTTTTCAATCTCAGAATGCTGGCAAAGAGAACATCTCTTTAGCACAATTGGCTCAACAGAAAAGACCTAAGATTGTCATATTCAGGAGTCACTCAACAAAATGGCTAGAGCATCTTACCTGAGTACCGTATAGTCAAGTCCACCAGTCAACAATTTCTGTCTATATTCATGGAGTTTGAAATTAGCATTTTAGTGTCTCATTCTTAAATAGTAACAGACAACCATGGATCAGCAGTATTTGCAAAGACCAGTGTGAACAAATGTAAGGCACCAAAATGTAATATATATCAAATTCCAAATTGAACTGCAAAACATCCGTCCAAACAGGTAGCCAAAGACTATTTGTACAATTCTGGAATTCCTCACTCATGTTCAGGAGAAAACAGGTAAAGAAAAAGGAAAACTGAGAGAAGGATTTCTCTGAAGAAAACTGTGCTATGAGTGCCTCATTACCACCAAGAAAGATGAGCTATAGTTCTGTTATCAAGATAACCTGAGGTTACCACTCAGGTTAAAAGAGGGACTTCAGTGGAACCACTCAGAGAGCTGGATATGTGTGCCTTGGCATTAGTGAGATGCAGTTAGTGATATCAGAGTTATCCCTGGAAAAAGTCCATAGGTGAGTCTGGCTGAAAGAGCCTATGGCAGCTGAACAGAAACGTGCAGCTAAAAATTAATTGTAACTCCACTGGCTGTCAGAGAAAAGAGTAAGTTATCCATGGTCCTTCTATGAAAATTTGAGTGGAATAGATGATCTGGAACCATGTTAATAATTTCTAAGGGCTCACTGGGGGGAACAATGAAAGCCCCTTGAAAAAAAGAATCTTTACAAAACAAATCCTCAAAGAAACATGACAAGGACAGAACAGCCAGTCGAGACACGTAAAGGGCAATCAAGAGTTCACTGTTGGACCTATCTTAATCCCAAAAAGAATTCAGGGAAAAAAGTCAGAGCTAAACACTGGCCAGGTCTGGAGAGCATACAGCCAATTTAACAACAATCCCAGACAAGTTAGACCTTCCTGCCTTCCATTCTCATCTCCATCCTCCCTAGTGTTTCAAGCCTACAGCAGGCAGGTGTCAACGCTGGCAATAAGGGTGAGGGTGGTAGATAACAAAGTGGGGTCAGGAGAAATGAAAGGCCATACCCCTGTCCTCACCTCCTGCAGCTTGAAGTTCCTAAAAAAGAGAGGGAGTGGCTGTCACTTTTAAAGTGCTGTAAGCCTTAACTATTACACAGATCGAATTACCTATGGGCTTAGTTTTTGTGTTTTGTTTCTTAAATTTATTTTATATTTAGAACTGTTTTTTAAGAGTAATCAGAAAAGACAGAGGACTGCACCAGCTTTTATTTGTAGAGAGGAGAAATCCTTCCCCACTGAGTTCATTCTAAAAGGACAGGAAAAAAAAAAACAAAAGTAAAGCAGCTTTCTGATTCCATGTTGGCTCAAAACAAACATAAAAAGAAGAAATTTTTTTTAAAAAGACAATTCAGAAAGCACATGAAACAAACATACAAAGGGGGAAGAATGGGTCATGTAGAAGGGATCAAGGATAAAAAAATTTTAATAAAAACTTGCCAACCATGGAAGGTAGAAGACAGTAAAGCAATGTTTTCAGAATTATGAAGGAAAATAGTTTCCACTTAGAATTCTATGCCCAGGCAACTTAAGGGAAATGACAGAGTAAAAATATTTTCAGATATTCAAGTTCTCAAAAATTCTTTCTCAGAAAGATACTAGGGGATTTTCCCCACCAAAATAAAGGTGGTAACATGTCTAAAACATAGACATGGGACCCAGGAAACAGAGAATCCAAAGAGGAAAGTAATAAAAGGGATTTCTAAGAGTAATTACTAGATATAATTCTAAGCTAATAAACCAGAATGACTGTTACTCAGCAGGAAGAAATCATTTCATGTTGAATCAGGAGGAAGAAAGTCTCCTGGAGGGATATCTCTAGCAAAAAAAAAAAAAAAGAAAAGAAAAGAAACTGACTTATTGCCAGATGTAGCTGACCATTTTGAAAAGAATTTCACAGTTCTGTTACATAACTTAGTGATAAGTACAATGAAAACAAAGCTAATTTCAAAAAGGATTCAAATGTTAACTTAAGAAAAAAATGAATTTATACAAAAAGGACACTGTGATAATAATATTAACATTACTATACCTCCGTGTGCTTGGCACTGTTCTAAATACTATGCTTGTATTGTCTCTAAATCCCCATAACAACCCTATAAAGTAGGCAATTTCATTAGGACTATTTTACTGATGAGGAAAGTGAGGTACAGAGATGTTAAATGACTTGAACAACATCATACAGTTAATAAATACCACAACCCAGATTTGAACCGGGAAGTCTGACTCTAAAATCCAGACTCTAGTGTAGTCAGTTTGCTACATGGCTTACTTGTGAGCAGTATTTTATGATTGTCAACATATACACACTGAATACTGATCTAATCTGTAATTATGATATAATTATACATTGAAAAAACAGGGGAGGGGAAATATGTTGGGACTGAGTGGGGTAATAACAACATTTCTAAATCTCATCTTCCCTCCTAGACAGTCAATACATAATGGTTGAAACTGGAAAAATAAAACAACCTATAACAAGATAAGTTATTATTTAAAACACATAAGCAGGCCAGGCACGGTAGTTTATGCCTAATCCCAGCACTTTGGGAGGCCGAGGCAGGCAGATCATGAGATGAGAAGTCCAAGACCAGCCTGGCCAATATGGTGAAACCCCATCTCTACTAAAAATACAAAACTTAGCTGGGTGTGGTGGCAAGTGCTTGTAGTCCCAGCTACTCGGGAGGCTGAGGCAGAAGAATCGTTTGAACCCGGGAGGTGGAGGTTGCAGTGGGCCGAGATCGTACCAGAGATCGCACCACTGCACTCCAGCCTGGGCAACAGAGCAAGACTCCATCCAAAAAACACACAACAACAACAACAACAACAACAAATAAGTAAATAACAGAAGAAATAGCTAAAATAATTTGGAGAGGAGAACTAGATTTGGGGATGAGAAAGAGACTTTTTCAATATTCAACAAGAAAAGTCTTTTTCAATGTTACCCTTGAAGTAATATTTGAGTTTTTAAACTATGCATTTGTATTTCTGTGATTTAAAAAATCAATTTAAAGGGAACTTATAAATGTTGGAGAAAGGTAGAGAGGGATGGTGTCTAGTACTGAAATGGGCGCTTCAATAGTAGTGATAGGAACCAGGACTCCCGTGACTACCAGGAAAGGTGTTGCTGGTCTTATAACTACCCACTGGGGTGTGGGATACAACCTCTCAAGTCGGGTCATACCTTCTGCACCAAACACCTCTCCACAGTGAGAGCAGAAGAAGTGTTCTGGGTGCCAGGTCTGGTTCATTGCTGTCAGCACTTTCTGAAAAGGGAACACACAGATATTACAATGATGCAGAGTTGTAAAGCATGACTCTAGTTCTGAACGATTGAAAGCTGGAGAGGAGTGGGGATTTACTTACATCCAGGATGGGAGCAGCACAGTAAGCACAGCGTGGAGAAAAAAGTTGGTGGTAGTCGTTGGGGCAGTAGGCCAAGCCATTCCGCTCAAAGAAGGGACTGGAGCCAATCTCTTCTTTGCAATGAGTACAGACAAAATGTTCAGGATGCCATGATTGCCCTAGAGCATGGATCACCTGTGGAGTGAAATGAAGCCTGACACAGGAGCCCAGTTGAGTGCTCTATAGCCTATAGGTTGCACAACTCTAGGGAGCACTCTTCACACTGTACCCCTTGTAGACAACACCCTGTGGAATTACACAACACTGAGGCCTAGACCTAGGTTCCACCTAAGGCCATCTGTTGTCTGTGCTTTACGGATTGATAATAAAAGGATGCCCACTTCCCTGACTGATCACTGTGATGAAAGCCTGTAAATGTTCACAACCACTCCACTGCCACAGGGGGTGGCCGAAACAACACAGAGCACATTAATGACAGACAAGTTGTAACTGTAGCCTTGGCGTGGAAGGGACCCCTGGAAGAGGAAAAGGCCAAATGACAGTTTTTATTCCTCTAGTTTGAACACTTTATTCCATGCCCTATGCAGTCAGGTCTCAAAGCCTTTTATCATAGCTTTGGTGAAGGATGATGCAGAACAGGGGTCTGCAGCTGTGACTTGGAGCTGAGTTCAGCTGAAAATTGTAATCAATCAATTTAGACTGGGAATGTCTGAACAAAGGGAGCAGTGAGAAAGGTCATCTCAGTAAAGGCAGTACAGAAAAATGGTTAATAACTCACTTGGGAGAGAGTCTACTGGTTTCAGATCTTATCTCTACTTCTTACTAGGCCTTAGATATGTCCATTAATGTCTCTGAGCCCTTAGTTTCCTTATCTTTACAAAGGGAGCAACCATGCTTCTTGAAGGGCTGATGTGACCATTAAATGAGGAAATACTTGTAAAGCACTTAGCTCAGTGGCCAGAGCACTGTGATTAGTAATTATTCATGATAACTAAAATATCTCAAATTATAAGGAGAAAGAGCAATCTTTGATGGGACAGAGAAAGACACAGAAGGCTGTAGGACCAAAATTTCAGCCCATCTCACCTTCCCAGCAATCGGTTTCCGGCAGGATGCACAATGGCCCTTGGGCACTGTGGCAATGCCAAGGTCCTGCAATTCCTGCTCCAGACCCCCGAGCATTGAGTCCAGGGAGGCCTTGTGATCCTGCTTGTCTGGTAAGTGTTTCTTGCCAGCATCTGCTCTCACTGCAACCTGGTCCAAGGGAAGAACCAAGAACAGAATCAGTCTCACGTATTTCTATTCTCACTGGCATCTTCTAATGACTCTATAAATTCACCTTTACTGACTGATCTCTTAGCCTTTCCCCAGCCTTCCTCCAAGGCATTGGAAGAATCTAAAATTTCAACACCAATAAAAATATTGTCATCTCCCTTTCACCCTAAACTCCTCAGGCCAAATGAAATCTGACTAATCTTCTGTTTGTAAATCTTTTCTTAACATAGGAATTTTAGTACATGAAAATGATACCCTTTGAAGATCTTAGGATGACCCTAGTTCAAAAACTAGTCACATCTCCATTTTACTCACTTATATGGCAGTATTTGTTGAATACCTGGTTTGTGCCAATCATTGCTCTAAGCACTTGGAATAAAGCAAGGATAAGACAGACCAAGTGTCTGGTCTCATGGAATTCTGTGGGTGACAGACAATAAACAATTAAACAAATAAATATATGTTACAATGTCAGATAGAGATGTTATATAGAGAGATAGAAATGACACACGAAGATGGTAAGAATAATTGATTTAGATGGAGGTAATAATCAAAGAAGGCCCCTCTAAGGAAGTAATATTTGAGTAGATACTTGGGACTCAGAAATATTGGCATTTATGGGAAAAGCATTCTAGGGGGAGGGAAGGCCCTGAGGAAGAAAACGACTTGGCACATTAGAAGAAAAGTCAAAGAGGTCAGTGGGGCTAAAGCAGAGGGAGTGAGATTGAACACAGCAGGAGAAGGTGATCGAGAAAGAGAGGCAAAGATCACATAGGAACCTCATGGTAAACACTTGGGTTTTATTCCAAGGTGACGGGAGCCATTGCAGGATTTCAAGCACAGGAGTGAAGGAATCTGGAGGATCCCTGTGGTAGCTGAGTGGACAATTAAGTGTTGACAAGCAAGAGTGAACATAGGGAGATTATCAGATAATGACTTAGATCAGTGTTATAGGAGAAAGTGGTGAGAAGTCATCAGATAAGACTCGTTGATGGATTGGAATTATTTAAGCAAAGTCCAAAATTATTATAAACCATTCAAAGAAAGATCCTTACTTTAAAAAAAAGCGGGGAAGGGGGGCTAACTGACCCTTCATAACCTCATATCCTGATTCTGGCTCTCTCTAGCTGGGCGACTGCTACCATCTATCTACCAAATACTTCACTCATCAGAAAACTACAATGGCTGTCCATTGCCTCCACATCAAGTCTGCACTCATCAGACAGACATTCAAAGCCTCCCATCTACTGTCCTCCCTTTTTATCTTTCCCAATCTCATCTTTTATTAATACTATGTTGTAAAAGGCCTCCATTGTTTAGGCCAGCTGGGCTCTTCAGTCTCCTGAATGTGATCTGTTACTGTCTGCCTTAAGACCTCTACTTATCCTACTTTTACTGCCTGTTAAACATCACATTGTCACCAATCAAAATGCTCATTTTCCTTCAAGACATTTTGATCATCTGACAGACATCCTTCCTCCTCTAATATATGTTAGTTAATATTCAAGAGGTTAGTGTTCAGAAGGTTAGTGTCTGAAAGGTCTGAAGGGGTGACTGACATTAATTATGAAAAATAAGTAAAAATACAATATAACTACACCTACACCTACATCTCTATCTCTTCACTGGTACCTTCCAGAATACTTCTGAACAGATATAGAAGAGACAGGAAATTCTGCCTATCTCCAGTGGGGCAGAACTGGACGGCTAGGCTGCACAGCTGAGAAGGAAACAGTTCAGTGCAAGCTTTTTGTACTTTCGTTTTTTGTACAATGTGAAGGTGAAGCTTATTCAAAAGATAAACGGCGCCAGGAACAGTGGCTCATGCCTGTAATCCTAGTACTTTGAAAGGCCAAGGCAGACAGGTCACCTGAGCTTAGAAGTTTGAGGCCAGCCTGGGCAACATAGCAAAACCTCGTCTACTAAAAATACAAAAATTAGCTGGTCATGGTGGCGCATGCCTGTAATCCCAGCTACTCAGGAGGCTGAGCCACTAGAATCGCTTGAACCCAGAAGGTGGAGGTTGCAGTGAGCCGAGATCATGCCACTGCACTCCAGCCTGGGTAACTGAGTAAGAATTCGTCTCAAAAAAAAAGATGGCGTTGTAAATTAAGAATTTAAATAAACCAAGATACATGCTAAATCAATTAGAAACACAACACAATTAAATCTAATGTACATTTTTTTCTAGTATTTTCAGATATACAGCATAATGAGCCAATCTACCCAGCTTTATTGTAGACACTGGCCCATCAAAGGATGTAAGTCATTAAGGAAAACTTGTTTGTAATGTTTATTTATTCATCTCTCTAATAAATATGTGTTGCTCACAATGTATCAGGCCCTGTGTTGAGCAATGGGAGTCCCAAGGTGAGCTCTAAAGATAAGGTTCCTGCCCTCTCCAATCACACACGTTTTTATGTACTGCTTTGAAATTACTTCATAGTCACCTCATGAGTATATATCAAATCCTCCAACCAGATTTAAAATGGTTGGATTCTCTGCCTTAAGGATTCTGGATTATATTTCCTAAATAAATCTTTAAGCCCATTTATCTGAGATTTTCATTCCATGCCAGACCATGTGAGCTCACCACTTTAGAGGTGTTCTAGAGACTAGAACAAAGAGGCAGATTTTATCTCAATATGGGCTTGGGACTTCTCACCCTTCCTACTGTCAGAGCTATGCTTTGATCTCCCCTGCTGTGTCTCAGCTTGCTCACTGGTATCCTCTGTCCTGCTTAGTCAGGTCTCTTTAACAGTCCTTTCGGCCAGGTGCAGTGGCTCACGCCTGTAATCCGAGGACTTTGGGAGGCCTAGGCAGGTGGATCACGAAGCCAGGAGTTCGAGACCAGCCTGGCCAAGATGGTGACACCCCATCTCTACTAAAAATACAACAAAAATTAGCTGTGCACAGTGGCGGGCACCTGTAATCTAAGCTACTCACTTGGGAGGCTGAGGCAGGAGGATCACTTGAACCCGGGAGGCAGAGGTTGCAGTGAGCCAAGATTGCACCACCTGACTCTAGCCTGGGTCACAGAGCAAGACTCTGTCTCAAAAAAAAAAGAAAATCCTTTCACATTATCAAGTCTTAGATACCTCTGCCCTCAGGACTCGTTGCAACTAACACCACCTTTCTTCCCATCTCTCTATGTCCAAACTCTGCCAGTTCTTCAGAGTCCATCCCAAGTTTCAACTATCTGATTAAATCTCCAAAATCTCTCTATATCCATAACGTTTGCTATACAGATGTTTGCAAACCACCTGGCTTTTATTCTATAAATGTTAAAAAAAAACTTATGCCTCATTTTGCCAAGCACACTCCAGCTCCTTGAGATCAAAGTCTGTATTATATATTAATTTTTGTGTCCAAATAACACATAGTACAAAGATGGGTTAATTCATGGAATTAAATTTAGTCTGGAAAAAGCAATGACAACTTAGGAAAATTCCTAAGTGGGAGAATGCAGAGCAGAGTTCCACAAAGATAAACTGGTGACCCCATGGGCCCTGTTTATCATCTGGACTGCACTCACCTTGGCCTGCATCTCAGTCAGGTGAGCCATGAGCTCATCTAACTGAGCAGCTGCTGACGTTTTAGAAGGTGGTGGTGATACCTTTGGCTCTTGGGCTTCACTACAGAGGGAAAACAAAAAAGTCATATGAACAAATCAAAACTCAAATAATGTTAAACCACACATAAAGTACTGGAAATGCAATTGTAATAATGAATCCCCTGGATATGAATCTAAAATCAGAGATGGAGGTATTTAAAAATATACACTAATATGTACTGACTGAAAATCTAAACAAGTTCTCTCTGCCTTTTGTCTCTATTTCTCCCTGGCCATCTAAGTTATAAAAAGTATTATATCTCCTGTCAGTTATTGTCAAAAAATAAAAATAAACCAGAATATAGAGCAGGCATCAACAAATAAAGTCCTTGAATCAAATCTGGCCATGACCATTCATTTAGTTACTGTCTATAGTTGCTTTTCTGCACAGTTAGGTAGTTGCTACAAAGACTTTATAGTCCATGAAGCCTAACAAACTTACCATCTGCCTCTTTACAGAACAAGTTTGCAAATCTCTGGTGCAGAAAGTTTAGATAATATATATGATGATGATTTCATATTCATATAATTGTAAGTAAATTATAAATAAATAAAACTTTGGACCCAATAAACAGAATACGGATTCTATTCAAGAATCTGCATAATCGTTAGTAAAATTAACCATATATGAGGAAACAAAGTAAAGCTCAATAAATTTTTTAAAGTACATCATATAGACCATATTCTTAGATTGGAGTGAATAGAAGTACGAATTAATCATAAAAACTATCCACTTAAGAAAAAAACAAAGCACTTCTAAATAATTCTTGGGATAAAAAAAATTAAACTGAATTTCAAACCAGATAGAAATAGCAATGAAAACACACACACACACTCACTCACATACACGCACACACACGTCTTTGGGAGTTGAAAGCTAAATATTATTGAGAAGAAAATATATAAATAGCCTTAAGTGTGATATTAAAAAATGAGGAAGATCAGAAATAAACAAAACTTCCAAATCAAGAGTCTCAGAAAAATCTAAAATAATTGAACAGAAGGAATAAACACATAAATTAATGAAATAGAAAACAAGAAATAAAACAAAAACTGACAGTTTTGGGGGTATCGTTGTATAAAATTTCCAAATACATAGAAAAATATAGAACATTATTTCATTCTATATATAGCCCAGAAACTTTTTAAAATAAAAAAAATGATGTGCATGCGTGAGAGAGAGAAAGTTAAATAAAATTAGTTGAAATGTGTTTTTTTAAAAAGACATAAAAAATTTTAAAAAGTCATGGCTAGGTGGTGTTTATACTGGTCATCCAAAAATAGTTCAAAATTAGGAAAAAGATTAATATAATTCATTAACAAATAGGAGAAAAGCTTTATAAACACAATGATATGTGCTGAAAAAGCAGTGGAAGACAAATTTAACAACACTTCCTGTTGTTGAACATCAAGAAAAATAAGAAAAAGTCTATAAACTGATAAAATGTTTCCATAAGAAATCTACAGCAAGCCTCATAATTGATAGTCAAATATTAAGCAGATTTCTAATTAAGAGGTAAGTTGGACATAGATCCTATTATCATTGGCAATCTTCAACATTATTCTAGAATACATTATCAAACACATTTAAAAGTAAAATAAGAGGATTATATAGTTGAAAAAAGGCAGCACATCCTCATTCTTTCTTTTAAAATAGATGGTATAATAACTTCCCAGGAAAATGTAAGACAAACGACTGAACAACCATTGGAATGAATAAAAAAGATCAGGGTGGTGATTAGATACAAGAATAAAATGAAGCAGTCTCTTTCCTACTGATCATCAATAAGCAGTTTGAAAATCCAATGAGAAAAAAAGAACCTGTTCACAATTCTAACAAAAGTTATAAAATATCAATAATATATTTAACAAAAAATGTGTAAGAATTCTATGAAGAAAAACCACTGGCAGACATAAAGGAAGATCTACATATCCAATTAACCAATGAGCAAAGGACCTGAATAGATGTTTCTCCAAAGAAGAAATAAAAATGGCCAAAAGGTATATGAAAAGGTATTCAACACCATTAATCATCAGGGAAATGCAAATCAAACTATTACGAGATACTACTCACAAACAGATAGCTATTCTCAAAAAGTCAAAAGATGGCAAATGTTGGCCAGGGTATGGCGAAAAAAGAACACTTATACACTGTGGTGGGAATGTAGATTGATACAGCCATTACAGAAAATAATATGGAGGTTTCTAAAGAAATTAAAAATAGAAATACCACATGACACAGGAATCCTTCTTCTGGGCATACACAAAATAAATAAAATTACCACTTCGTAAAGATATCTGCACTCTTATGTTCATTGCAGCATTATTCACAATAGCTAAGAGGTGGAAACAACTTAAGCGTCCATCAGTGAATGGACACCAATGGCATAAAGACATTGTGAAATATGCACACAAACACAGCAGAATATTATTCAGCCTTAAAAAAAAGGAGATCCTGCTATTTGTTATAGTACTGATGAATTGGAAGGACATTATACTAAGTTAAATAAGAAAGAAAAATATTGCATGATCTCACTTATAGGTGGAATTGTTTTTGTTATTTAAAAAGGTCAAATATGCAGATATATCGGTGATGAGGGGCAGGAAAGGGAGTGAAAATGGGGACATGTAGGCTGGAGAATATGAAGTAGCAGATATGTAAGATGAACAAGCCTAGAGATCTAATGTACAACATAAGAACTATCGGTAATGAAATTGTTGTATTTAGGATTCCTGCTGACTGAGTAGATTTTGGCTGTTCTTGCCACAAAAACAAACAAACAAAAATGTGTAACTGTGTGAGATAATAACTATGTTAATTTGGCTCACTATATTAACCATTTTACTAACTATTCATATCCCATAATATTGTACACCTTAAATATGCATAATAAAATGTATTTTTAGAAAAGAAGGCCTACATAAATGAAGATAAATATTACGTCAATTTCCCCTAATTAAATTGTAAATTCAATGTAATTCACATAAAAATTCTGACATAATTATTCAAGCTAATTAGTAAGGTGATGTTAACATTTATGGGATAGAACACTCA